TTGGTGGTCTAAAATCGATAAGAGTAGGCTTCGGCCGCCACCCGGGCAAAATTCAAAAGTTCCTATCAACTGAAAATATTAGGTGTGTCCCGCGCGCTCATATGACCTTATGCAGTAGCGAGCGCCGTAAAACACTTTACAAAAAAACAAACAAAAAAAAACATGCACTAGCGGTCACTTCTCCATATGCGGTCACATGCACTAACGGTCTCTGCTCCGTGACACCCTTGCGTTGTTCTTATATTTTTACCTGTCCATAGCAGCCCCTGTGCAACGCTGCCGCGATCAGATTTGTTCGCAAGTCGGCCTCAATACGAGCTCAAAGCAGTCACTTTCTACAAAAGCTTCCCCGCCAACTTTTCCTCAGACTGAGTGTAGTTGTTCAAACAATAAACTGAAGCTCTTGTCAGAGATAACAATGTTGATGGGAATAACCTGGATACTTGGAGGTGTCATCTTTGACTCAGATGTTGACTTGTAATGACCTTCCATCCTTCACAGTCGCGAGCTGCCGTTGCACATTCTGCTGTATCCAGACCAGTACACGTTTTTTATGTTGTCCATCCAATATTACTCTTTGTGTTCCCCTGGCTCTCCTCCCCCACATCTTTCCTTCAAGCACCTCTTTCACAATGGTCTCGTGTCGTTGTAAGTGTCCAAAGTATTGTATTTTCCTACATATCATTCAGCATTTCAGATTTTAGTCTACCTGTTGACTTTGTTAAGTCAAGTGAGTAAGCATAACTCAGATCCTGTTCAAAGCGGCCTCCTGTCCATTACAGTCATTTTTCTCAACTATCTTGAGAGGCCATTATCTTTTGACTGCAGGTTTGACTGTAGCTCTTTTACGCCAACATCTCTTCTGTCGTCCTAGAAACTTGTTTCGGCTAATGTTTTGGTTTAATTTACTCTCTCTTCCGCCTAAACCTTCACCTCTGTCCTTTTAATATTCCATTGCTCATGTTCTCCCTGTGTTCTGTCTTTTAAAGCTCCTCATTTTTGTCTCTCGGATTGTATCTTTATCTTATTTCTTACTATAAAGTCGAGGGAAAAATAACGAAAAGGCAACATCCTACAGTTGTCCAACGAGCTCAGCAATCTTATTTCCTCCACCTCCAGCCTTGACTGTCTCATCAATTCATTCATCCCCAGACTGGTCAGCCGGTCACTGTTTGCCTCCCTCAAATAAAGACGATAAAAAGGCCAGCCAAAAATAAAACTCAAAACTCGACTCCAACGGGCTAAACTATTTGGCCAAGTGGCTTTCTTAATCTACTGCCCGCCCTCCCCTTGATTCTTTCCATATTTCCGAGTTCGCTTGACTCCGTCGTGAGTACTCTTCCGACCAGAAAAAGCAAAGTAATTAAATTTGGGGCTGCCCTGCTCTCCCGTCAGCCAACAGAGATTTGGTGAGATAGTTGGGGGAGACAGCAAGGGGTTGGGTCATGCCCTGAGTGACACACGTTTGATTCAAAGAAGGTTTTAAGGTCAGCTTTTCGTAAGCCAGTCTCGTGCAAGAGATAAGAAGGCTTTTGTATTTTGGGGATGCAATAAATAAAGTTATACCTTGTATACCAGCCACTAATTGTCCAAGACCGTCACCTGGAAACACGACCACTGCCCACTTCTCTTATATCCAGTGACGGATACCCATTGTCTAAGACGTCCACCTAAGACAATCACTTTTCTCCTCAACAATGGGTGGCCCATGGTCGTAAATGGATGCGTTGTATTATTTAAATCTTAATTTTCAGAAAACATACCCTCTCTTTATTTCTCTTATTCTTTCTCACGCCTCCTCTTTATCTCCCTCTCTTTCTCCCCCCTTGACTGTGTTTATCTCTGTCTTTCTCTTTCTCTCTCTCTTTCTTTCCCTTCCCACCTCTCTCTCTCTCTCTCTCTCTCTCTCTCTCTCTCTCTCTCTCTCTCTCTCTTTCTCCCTCTCCATCTCTCTCTTTATTTCCCCTTTCTGTAGGATCGAAACTTATATCTCCTTACTTAGCGCATTTCTTTTTTTATCTTTTCTCCTTCACTTGTCCTGCATCTCTTAAGACCTGTCTGTCTCTCATTTGTTCTGACCTCTTCACCCGTCTCCTCACACGTCCTTGAATTTGTCGCCACCGTTCCGTAATCTCTATCTTTGTTCTACTCTCTTATGTCCTAACCTTCTATGTTTATTTTTTTCTTTACTCTTATTCTGTACTCCACCTTTGTGCTCGCTCTCTCTCTCTCGTTTTTCTCGCACGCCGTCTCTTTTTCTCTCCCTCTGTGTCTCTCTCTTTGTCTCTCTCTCTCTTTTCTCTCTCTCTCTCTCTCTCTCTCTCTCTCTCTCTTCCTCTTTCTCTCTCTCTTTCCCTCTCTCCCCCCCTCGCTCTCTCTGTCTCTCTGTCCAGTCCATCTCTCAGAATGTCAGTGTGTTTATCTGTGTCTGTCTATGAGTTTACCTCTGTCTGTCTGTCTGTCTGTCTCAGTCTCTCACTTTATCTGTCACTCTCTGTCTGTCTGTCTGTCTGTCTCAGTCTCTCTCTTTATCTCTCTCTCTCTCTCTCTCTCTCTCTCTCTCTCTCTTCTCTCTCTTTCTCTGTCTATTTCTTTCCCGCTTTCTCTTTAGCTCTCTCTATTTATCTCTCTATTGTTCTCTTTCTCTCTCTGTCTCTCTCTCTCTCTCTGTCTATCTCTCTCTCTGTCTCCCTCTCTCTCTCTCTATGTCTCTCTCCTCTTTTCTAATCCAAATTGTAACAACTCACCTTGGATTTGACAAGCCCATGATGAGCTCGGGTAAAGATCTGATGTACCCGGAAGGTCTTGGCAAACATTGCACCGAATGCCAGTGAGAAACCAGCGGCCAGGAAAAACGCCCTCCCCTGAAATATCCAGTTAGTTTATTTAGATAATAGTTTTACGACACTTTGTTTAGTTTTGTTTCGGCAGAAGTTTAACGCCACCTGTAACCTTAATAGCTTTATATAGGTGCAGAAAACTAGGGGTGTTGCAAGAGAGTAGCACACACAGAAAACCAAGAAGAGAGATAAGGGTGACTGATGTTTGCTAAGAAGGATGGAACACACACACCAGAGCACCCGCCAACCCCGCAAACATAAAGTTAACTTTTGTTTGTGCTGGTAATTTGAGTCATTTAATGCAGAGAAAAAGCAAGATAGACAGAGAGAAAGAAGAGATCTTAAGAAAAGAAGTAGGACCTGCAAGCAGCACCTTCCAACCACCCACTTAAATACAGACAAGAAGGTCAATACGATAATGGTCATTCAGTGAAAGGGAAAAAGTAAAACAGGCACACAGAAGCAACAGAGGGAAGGAAATGAGAAAAGGGACCGCTCTATGTGCCCTCCAACCACTCGCACTGTTAACGTTTGAATGGATCAGAATGGATCAAACGGCGTTGGAGTCTCGTTTTAGGGGGTTGCTTTTATTTTTAAAGTTGGGTATTCTCACTGTGCTTGAATCTCCCAGCATCACAACGTTTGAAATAAATCCTAGGCAACTACAATGCAAGACACTCACACAAATCTAACTTTGGACTGACGGACATTCTGACTGGCATAATCATACAACGTTAGAGAAAGAGGGTGTGTACAAGGTCTCAGGCAAAGTGACAAGGAGACAGCGGGAAAGAGAGAGAGAGAGAGAGAGAGAGAGAGAGAGAGAGAGAGAGAGAGAGAGAGACAGACAGACAGACAGACAGACAGAGGGAGACAGAGAGAGAAAGAGAGAGAGAGTGAGAGAGTGAAAGAGAGAGGTAGATAGAAAGGGGGAGAGAAAGGAAGAAAGAAAGAAAAAGAGCGGCAGAGAAAGTGTAGGAGAGGGAGAGAGAGAGTGGAAGAATGTGTAAAGGCGAGGTTAATGGGTATACGGCTAGCATATCAAAGGAGCTCAGATGAAATCTAAATGTTATTATAAAATTTAAAATAATAATAATAATAATAATAAAGCAAAGTTAAATTGTAGGAAGAGAGTCGTACATGCAAATGAAATTGATACACTCGGAATCGTAAGATTTGGGGTTCGGAGGTTCGAGGCTCTTTTTGTGTCCTGATAGGTTGGACACTTTGCACAAAATTTCCCATTCAGATCGTTTTTATCGGAGATGGACGTTGAATTCAGATGTCTCGCCTCTTAAATTACATTACAGTGTTAATAAGGATATTAAACCTATGCTGCTTAGCCCATTTTTTTCGACCCACAGCTGCCACGTTTATAGGACTCTTCAAATTTCCCGGAATGAAGAAGCTAATTTGACCCCATTGTCTGAAACTGCACTATTTCACAACTACTTTGCAGCTGAGAAATATTTAAAACAAACAAAACAACGATATCTCTAAATCCGGGGTTATCTCATGCTTTAACGCTCGTCTCATAGAATGCAAGCTCCCTAATTTTAACTGCGCAGATGCGGGTTCTATTTAAAATGTAGATTATTTAGGAGGCATTTCGACTCTTCCTGTCAGGGTTAAAACAAATTGAGAGGAATGCTCAGCAGAAAGTCCTATATACTCGATAAAAAAATCACCCCACCCAGGAATCGAACTCTAGCCAAACCGATATAAGTGGTGCCCATTGGGGGATCGGGTCCGGTCAGGGCGGTTTGCTAGCCAGATTAAGGGCACAAAGCGGCTATCGTGGCAGAAGCCGATAGCTCCCAACTCGTCGCTTAATACGGGTTGCCCTCTACGGACGGGATCGGCCGATCGGGCGATTGCCCGACTCGATCGCTTAAAAAACAAACGTGTTTGTTTTCAGTTTCAGGCGATCGAGTCGGGCGATCGCCCCGATCCAGCCGTAGTGGGCACCCCGTATAAAAAGCAAACGTGTTTGTTTTCAGGCGACGAGTGGGGTGATCGCCACAGACCCAACCTGACCCGACCCGACCCGACCCGATTCCATCCGTAATGGGCACCCCGTATAACGATAAAGACGCTGGCCGCGTGTATCTGGATCTGTACTTACCGAACACACAATGGGAAATATGTAGTCGGTCAACACTCGGTCATCCAGCCCCAACAAGATGACACCCGTGTAGACCAGGATACAGCCTATGACCGCTACGTTGTTCAGCATTGGGCTAGAGAGCTTGATGAACCTGTGCAAAAGTGGGGAGAATCTATTTAGGGGGGTCAAGGATGAAGCAAAAAGGAGGGGGGGGGATTTATTTAGCGGGGTCAGGGATGGAGCACGGTGGGTGTAGAGGGTATTGACGTTTATTTGATGTTTACATCACGGATTCCGGTTAATTTTCTGTGTCAAAGGTGAAAATACTAATCATTATAAAAAGCAAAGTCCAGCCGGCTTAGCTTATGTTAACAGCATCTGTGGCACAACGCAGTGAAATCAGGCACTTGTCAATCTTTGGGCATATAAAGGTATTGGTATATTCTTAAAGTCCGCTCATTTTCTTTGATTTTAATTTCTATCAAAATCCAGTAATCTTGAGTAGAAGTCGTGCTATTCGTTGTTGAAGGAGGTGGGGGTCACGTGTTGTCAGAGCTAAATTTAGACAGTAAATTGCTACTAAAGTTTGGTGACTTCGAAAGTTTGAGTTTCCTTGAAAACTGCAAATTCACATTTTTTATAGCCGTTTTCCCCGCTTTTCAGTAAAATCATCACAAAAAGTTGTTTCAAGTGGAAATGAAAATTGTGGGTACAAATATATAGTCCAACGGGTTCAAAAATGATTTGTTGATCACCACAAAATACATAATATCATGGGCCCGCTGTACATCATTACAGAGTTAAAGAACCCACTCACTTGAGCCGCCTGTGATAGAGGTTGTAGGCGAGGAAGAAGACAGCCAGCACCACGCCCCCGACACACAGGCCTGTGGCAGTGTAAACCACGGACACCTCGATCGTCTTCAGGCGGAGCAGCACCACCTTCTCGTCTTTGGGGACACGACCTCCTAAAGCAAGACAGAATCAAATAATTTTCCTTTAATGTAGGTTGTCTATTTTTAACGTCTACTATTAGAACAATTTCAAGCACACACCTAGAACCTCCGGATGTAAGACATAATTGAATTGTTGCTTTTTTATGTACGGCTCTGTTTTTAACGCTCACTATTAGCACAGTTTGAGGCAATCACCTAGAGCCTAGATGTGGCCTTCTCGTCTTTGGGGACACGACCACCAGAGGTAAGACAGAATTAAATAGTTTTTTTAATGTACGACTTTGTTTTTAAATCGCACTATTAGCACAAGTTGAGGCAATCATCCAGGGCGTATAGGTGTCAAGATTGGAGGAAGTGCCCAGGGACGGGCAAGCGTTGTGTGGAGCGCTCTCTACCTTATGTACCTGATGGTAATAGGGAGAGAGTAAGTAAATAAGTAAGTAGGTATTGACACAATTTAGATAATCTAGGAGACAAACTTCAACCCTGACTCTCAGAGCCAACCCAGGCTAAGAGGGATATATAATAATATAACATCTCAGCAGAAAGTCTGAGATACTCGATAAAAGAATTCCCTCAATGGAATCGAACTCGGGTTTCCTGTGTGTGAAAGCGAAGTACCTAACAACTACGCCAAAGACGCCGGTCAAGACAGAATAACATAATATGTACATATCAAGAGGTCAGAAAACTAAATAGTCTTGGTCACCTTAATTCGTCTCGACGAATAAAAGCAAACAACCAAGTTGGACCTGAGCATGATAGTTTACAACCGAGTTTGGCTAATTTGTAAAGGCCATAACTCTGATCTATAGCCATGCGGTCATTTCATTCAAATGTTCTTATATTGTGTACTCTTATCAACTTGTGCCATCAACTAAGATTCTTTTTTTTCAGCAAAATGTGACATAAACTCTTTATATTCCCACCTTTTCATTTGTTGCCGACGGTATTGTGGTGTTGTATTGTGGGTACAGTATTTGCACACCATATCGTGGCGTTCAGTTTCATGGGGATAATACCGAGTAATTTTTGCCAAAGATAGAGACAAAGAGATCCTTCAAAGGCACCATAATATTATGACGATCCAAAAAGGGACACATCTGTGCCCAAATTCGACAATTACACCCCCCCCCCTCAAATCAATACCTGGCGGTAAGAGAGGACACCTTCTCCTCCACTTCACCTACCTCTAATCGGGGTCAAGACGTTTCTTTCTGGCTTTTATTCTTTCCCCTTAGCTCTATTTCTCTTTATTCCTCTCTTTCTTTCTTTATCTCTCTCTTTCTCTCTCTCTCTCTCTCTCTCTCTCTTTCTCTCTCTCA